AAAGAGATGAGATCAGAAGCGATCGCAGAGAACACTTACGTGACAAAGGCCTCCATGCAACGATCAGATAAGAATGTGGTGCCCCGGCCAACTTTTCAGCTGGACAGAATGGCTCAGGGAAAAAAGTGTAGCTTTTGCACGGAAGCCCCATAGCCTCAAAGTTTCCATCAAGAGAGAGGTATGAGAGCAAGGGAGCAAAGGAATACAACAGATTTATGAGTCCCCCCCCCCAAAAATTGTGAGTGTGGCTTCTGGCCCATGTTGCTGGTTGGAATCTGTCTGGTAATGCTCCTACTACATCTATAGGATAGCCATTCTGACCCCAACCCCCATGATCCCCAGGCTCCAAAAGTCTCCACTCAGAACTTAAAATGACCCTTGGGGCTCTGATCTCCTAGAGCAGGACGGGGATTGAGAAAGCTTGACAGCCTCTCAGTTCGGACTCCCCGAGTGTGGTGTGGCCCGACACAGTGGCCGTGGAAGAACCTCCCAGGGGGTGGCGCCAGAGGCCACAGAGAACTGCAGGCTGAGCCGGGCCTCCAAGGACACCCGCCAGGCTAGGTTCCGTGGCTTCACAGCGGAACTACAACGTTTTCCATTCTTCCCCTTCCTAGTTCATCCTCTGTCAAGGATGGCGGGGGGAGGGGATCTTAGGCGGATGACTTCTCTCTTTAGTTCTGAGGTCTGAGGAGGAGGTGCCTGCCTAACCGCTAACACAGAGACCTCCTGGGCGTCGAGCTGGATGAGGCCACTAGATGGTACTTTGAGATCATCTTCCATGGAGCAGGAGCAGGATCTCTGCGGGAAGACACGGTATATTCAGTGGTCGGGAAGGCACACTGAGACCCAGCCACATTTGGTTCTCCTCTCCTTCTGGGCACGTGAGTGTGTGTACCTCTCGGGGCCCTTGCAGTTAGGTATGGCCACGTGCCTAGTTGTGGCCAGTGGGCTGTGAGTGAAAGCCACAGTATCCCTCGCAGGCCGTATTATTCATCCTTCACGTGAGACCTTCCGTGGTTCTCTTCCTCTGCTGTGCTCTTACGGAAGAGGTCTTGGGTTAAGACGATGGGCTAAAGGCTTGAAGCAGCCAGGATGCTAAACGTTGCCTTGAAGACTTGCCCTGGAGCGTTGCCCAGATCCAGCCATTTTGTGTAAGTGAGAAACTAGTTGTGTGCGGCTGATGAGATTTTGGTGTTTCTTTGTTCACGTACTGTAGCCGAAACAGAATCTATCATCACTAACACTGCCCCGGAGCCCAGGTGGCAGAGTCAGGTCTCAAATTTTGAGCCCTGAGCCAGCACACCATATGAGCTCATAGGATTGTTGTGAGGACCGCCGTCATCACGACTCCAGGCCGGGCCAAGTCTGACAAAGCTCTCCCACCTGCCTACAGAATCACCTCAGTGGAGACCGGGTGCTGCCCCCTTTAGAGAGCGGCATAAGCTTTGCCTCATTCAAATACCTACCCCGACCATTGTTTAACTTCTGCCAAATCCAATCTATTGCTCTTGTAGGGGGGTGGAAATGATTTTCTCTCTACCCTTCAAGTACTTGGCTGAGACCCCTGTAACAAAAGACAGATTAACAAAAGAAACACAGAAGTTTCTTAACATGGATACCTCATGTGACCACGGGAACACCCAGGGAAAAATAAGTTAACTCCCTGAGGTGGCTTAGAAGTCGGGATTAAGGGGCACCTTAATGGTGGCTCAGTCGTTAAGCGTCTGCCTTCGGCTCAGGTCATGATCCCAGGGTCCTGGGATCGAGCCCCGCGTCGGGCTCCCTGGTCAGCAGGAAGCCTGCTTCTCCCTCTCTCACTCCCCCTGCTTGTGTTCCCTCTCTGGCTGTCTCCGTCAAATAAATAAAATCTTTAAAAAAAAAAATCTAAAAAAAAGAATTCGGGATTAAATACCAGCTCAACACGGAAGGAAGAGGGGGTTGGTAGGCCTCTTAGGGGAGAGTCAGTGATTTTTAGGAGAGATGAATGGGTCTTTGGAAGAACAGATGGCAAGTAGAATAGTTTGTGATGAAGTTTGTCAGGGTGTGGGGTTGACTTCTAGTCTCTTCTCTTGTGGTGAGAGTCAGTCCTCCCTGGCTGATGCACCTCCAGGGAGGGGATCTGTGACAACAGTGTTCCTTTTGGGGTATCTGGTTTAGGCAGATAAAAGGAATTCAGTGAAAGCTTCTCCCCGTATTTGCCGTTTTTCAAGTGCCTACAGCTCTAAGTAACCCATGTATCAAAGAGGAAGATTTGGGGGTAGCAGGTCCTGAACTCCTGTTTTGGGGTGGCATATTCTGCTACCCTTCGTGCTCTCATTTACAAGACTTTAAGCTTCATACATCGATTAGGCTACACAGACAAGTCCCCTTCTGGCTTCAGCCCTGGCGAGACTGCCACTCAGGGTGAGTCTGGGGGCTTCTGAGAATACGGTGTGCTGGTTCTCAGTCTCCGTCCTATAGCAGTACCCTGTGCGATGTTCTGGGACCTTCCCTCATCCTTGGGTAGGGTCAATCTGGACACCCAGAGAGAGATGTTAGAGAGGGAACTTCAGACTCCATTCCAAGCTTGAAAATTGTGGAGCCCAACTCAGGTAGCTGAAAATCTAGTCTCCATGAAAATCAGTTTAGAAGATCTGGCCCTTTAGCTGGAGATGTTTTGAATCATCTTAATCACAGGACGATGACACTCTAGGGCAAGTATCTCCAACATCCTCAGGGCCAGCAGGGTGATGGAAATGAGAGAAGCCAGCCAGGGGCATCTGCATGTCCCACATGCTCTCTAAAGTGGAGAGTTGCTACAGAGTTCTGGCGGATTGTTATCCAGCGGGAATGCAAATATGTTGCCAAACCTTGACATTTTTCATTAGGAACAAGAGAGCTCTATATGGAATTCTCCCCATTTTGAAATATTGGTAATTAAAAACAACAGACAATAGTTACAACTCCATGGTCAATAGAACATGCCTGGAGGGCAGAGTGGGTTTGCAGACTCTGCTCTGTGATAGACATTTGAGTGAGGGGAGGAGACTGGCTAGAGCTAAAGGTATGCATTGAGATGTAGCAAGAGGTCCACCTGACTTGATTTTAGCCTACCTTTGGAATGAAGGGTGGACCCCAAAGGACTGACAAGTTTGACTTGTTTTGTTAAGTAATAAGGAGGCAGCGTAGCAAGGGGGCGGGGTGGGGAGGCAACATGAGCTTTGAATTCAGAGGCTTGGGTTCAAACCTTGCTCCCCTACGTAATAGTTGTATAATGAGTATGTTGCTTCACCTGAGTCTAGGTTGCCTTATCCACAGAATGGAGAATAAATCCTAACAGAGTCATGAGAATTAAATTTATGCGTATGAAAGTGTCGGCCACCTGGTCAGTGCCTAGTTCGTCTACATCCTTCCAAAGGTTCCAGAGTGAGGAAGAGATTTGATAAAAGCAGTGTTTCTGGAAGGATGGCCAAATGGCAGTTTGGACACTGGAGACAGACTGGCGAGGTCTCAGGCAGTGTGACAAATTTGAGAGGACGAGTAATTACTACCATGTGGCCTTGGAGCCAAGCCCATCCCCAGTGACAAGACCATAAAAATTGACCTCCTGGCTCCTCCACGGGTAAGGTGATGGACAGGGTGTGATACACAGTGTCAACAAAAGCTTGGCCGTGCTGGCTGTCCTGTCTGCTTCCCACCCTGTCCTTGGCCTCCTAGGGCAGCCAAGAGGGGCAGGGCCTGGCCCTGTCAGGGCTGATCCAGATGCAGTTTTCAAACCCGGACCTCAGTGCCAGCCTTGGGCCCACGCCAGACCCTGACCTTTGCTGGGTCCCCACAGACATTGCTCCTCTATCTTGAATAGCCAGTGAGTCTCTACAGAGTTCTCACCAATGTTCTGAGCTGCTTAGCAAACTCATCTTCGGAAGACACTTCTTTTGAAAGCAGAGGAGGTGTGTAAGTTACAGGCAGGCATTTCTACATCAAAATGCCCCAAAGCAAAGTCCTTGCAAGGAATTACAAAACAAGACAAAAAACTCGATAGTCTCACCCCTCAGGAGCTGTTGGAAGAGACGTTTACACACTGATCACAATTAAACGGTCATTGCCAGTCAACATCACCAGCTTCCCAAAAATGTGCCTTAAAGAGAAAATGATTTTTCACGTGCAGAGTCACCGGGAGGGCTTGCTGGGCCCCTCCGTTAAGTCTCGGAATCTGGTCTGGGGTGGGGGCTGCATTTCTAGCAAGTTCCAGGGTGATGCTGCTGCTGCTGGTGAGGCACTCTCCCTTCAGCAGCACTGCTGTAATGGGTCTGTTAGTGCTTACTTCGTTCACAGTGCCAGTGAGCGATCCAGAATGCATGGGAACCTATTTCCCCTCGATGAGTAAACAGAAGCTGAGGGTAAATGGCAGAAATAGGATAAACCAGTGCCTGAACATCTGACATAAGAGCCACAAACTTCACTGTAAGCCAAGAAATGGTCAAGGTGGAGGCGGTTCATTTTAACAGGGAACCAGCTAAACAGTTGACAAATTTATTGGATGAACAATATCCAGTGACAGATTCCACTAAGAACCAAAACTCTTTGATATTATTCAAGGCTTGCCGTACAAAGTGTTTGCCAGGGGCCAGCAGCATGAGCATCCCCTGGAGCACGAGAACACAGTCCGATCCCACCCCAGAACTTCTGGGTCAGAATATGCACTTTCCAAGATACCTGAGTGATGCTGCTGCTGTACGCTCGGTTCGAGGAACACGGAGAGATCGTTCTGCCCTCACAACTAGTGACCAGCATCAGTCATGGTCCAGGGGAGAAGAGGGACTGCCTGCCCACTTCCAGTGCTACCTGCTAGCTTCAGGGGGTGGGCAGCTCCAAGTTCTGCTCACCCATCCCTCCCCCGCCCACTATTCCTGCGTGGGCACGAAATGGCAGGCAGAGGACAAAAGTTACTCCTCACAGGTTCACAGGCCTGGAGGCTACACTCAGTTGAGGCTTCAGAGTAGGAGTATCAAATGTCTTTATTACAAAACTTAAGCTATTTATTGATCATTCAACTTTTCTAAAAAACGCAAACGTGAGAATAAAATAAACACACCCAAGACTCACTAGCCCTTGCAGGATAAGCAGCAGCCCTGGACAGACAGCCTGCAGATGTTTTTCCTTCTACCTGATGTCTGCACTTCCTCACACATTCTATGGTCCCATGTGTTGTCACCTCTTACAGAGGAAAGGAAACCGAAGCTACAAGATTCATGTACAAGAGGGTCATGACAACTTTCGAGCTAGTTGGTGCTGACAGCTTATACATTCTAGTTGACAAATAAGCACTAATTCCTACTCCATGCTAACCTTTACTGTCATTCTTTGAAATTGCGTCTTTGGAACTGGTTACGTTCCTTCACTGTAGCTACAGCTCCTCTAGGGATCCCCGAGCACAAACCCTAAAATCCACACAGTCTCCAAGTTCAAGTATAAAGGTTTGTTTCAGGACAACCCCAGACTGACGTAGTGTTTCTTTATATCTCTGTAGTGTCTACTGGGTGTCACCCCCTTTGGCAGGCTGACCAGACGGCAGCACAATGAGGGGGCACACACGGTCCACTCTGTTATTGCCTGTTCGATCTGGACACTGCCCCACAGTCAAGGCTGAATGCTGAAATCAGTGACGCCCTCAGCCTGTCTTCATTCTGAAGTTGTCCTCTTAAGTAACTGAATCCATTTCTTCATGGTTAATTCAATGGAGCTTCCAAAAGGTGTCAGACATATTCTAAAAAGAGAATCAGATCAAGATGCTTTTTGATAAGAGACTACATTTAACTTTATGTTCCTAAAGGAATTTACAATTAAACTAGAAAGACTGATAATGTTTTATACTCCATAATGGAATTGAGTTTTTCCCCCAGTACAGGCACAAATAGACAATCCCCCTCTTAAGGCAGTGCTCCACCCGAGCTTTGTGCTCTTGCTCTGTTCACTCACTGATGCTTTCCTATCAAAAATAATAAACATCTTAATGAATCTGACAAACAGAACACCAAAATGGAATGAGGGAACAGGTTACTAACAGTGGCTAGATAAGAATCCACTGCTTACCGGCTGGTTACTGCTCATACTTACTAATGTCTCAAAGCCTGCAAAAAGCATTGCTTTGTGCATCTATAGCTGACTTTAAGATTAAATTAAATCCCAAATGTAACAGGAAGGGGCATGCGCATAACAGAAGAATCCCATGGTTGTTGACAGTGATAAACTCCAATCTCTAAATACAGACTGTGAGTCCCATTTAAGATGCCGTTTTCGAATGCACTGTTTGACTTTATATTTAAACTACAAACCCAAGTTAACTCATGTCCAGGTATGAGACTCATTTAGAAAAATAGGACTTTCATTTGAGTTTCTCTTGTGTACAGCAACCATCCCTGTTGGTTTCTAATGAAGCATCTATTCACAGCTTAAATGTTTAGCTCTGGCGGCACAGAAGATCATACTAACACAGGAGAATGCTACTCATGAGTTCTCAGTAAAAAATGACTCTTGAACAGTAGGTGAGGTCTCTCTGCAGTAAATGCTTTTCTGAATATATAAAGAACATGATCCCCAATAGTGGCTTACCCCTTTTCTATCCATTTTATACATCTATAAGCCAGAGATGAATGCTCCTGGACAAAAGACAGGATACTGGACCTTAGGAAGCATCCTGGGAGGGAGCTGGGGGGTCCTGGCTCTCAGGCTCTGGAGGGGGCGCTGGCACGGCTTCTTTCTTCTTGGCCGCCAGGAACTCGTGAATTGCTCTTTCTATCTGTGGTCTGAAGATGTGGTTTAGTTTGGGATCCACCACTTGAGAAATGATTCTGTCCACTCCAGCTTCCAACATCCCTGACCTAGTGGAGACAAACAGACCATTCTTTGAAGGTCTGTGCACCCTTCCCCCAGCCACCCGTTTGCATCATGCGTACCCGCAGTACGGTATCAAAACTGGAAAAATGACACCAGTTCGATCCAACCTTGCTTAGTTTTCACACACGTAGCTGCACTCCGTTGTGTGTTTGCACAGGTAGCTCTGTGCCATTTTACCACACGAGTGACTTCAGGTAACCGCCACCATGATGAAGGTCTTAGTTCCACCACCACAGCATCCCCTGGGGCTACCCCTTTGGGGTCACACTCACCCTCCTCCTCCTGCCCCTAAGCCCTAGGCAACCCCTCATCTTGTCTACATTGCTGTCACTGTTTGTTCACCAGTGTTACATATATGGAATCAGCACCACGCATCTTTCTGATACTGGGTTTTTTCACTCAGCATAAGTCCCCGATATTTCTATTTCTAAAGAGGTAGGCTTCACAAGCTTTTAGATATTCCAGGAGAGGTCAGTGGATCAAGACCTGAACACAAGTGCTAGTAATAAGAGCAAAAAAAGATCACGAGCAAATTAGAAAAAGCCAGATGCCATGGCCCGCCTCCGCTGCGGTGCCCAGTGACACCGAGAAGTCACTGGGTGACTAGCATGGCACCGTACTAAGGTTCAGGCTGTGACCATGACAGACGTGCTTTAATAAGCCTCCATGCCTTCCTAAAAGCTGCTGTTACACTCCAGACCTCTCGCCCAAGATCCAAACACTGATATCTTGGTATAAAACTCCCACGTATGGGCCAACTACACTGAAAACTTCAAGCAGCAGGGAATTATGTTTCGGAATTTGGAGTATCTTTTGATGCACCCGGTAGAGTTTACACAGGAGGCCTACGGAGGATGGATAAACTAGCAAGAATGTCAGCTGAGTCCTTTGTTTACTTGAACCTTAACTTTAATAAAGGGGTGGACTGCTGCGACTTGTGCGTGGGATTTGCTGTGAAGTACCATCACCTTGACCAAATGATGACGCACATCAGCTTTCTTGTACATCATGCTGTGATTACCACCTTTTCACTCTTAATTCTAATTACTTACTGAACCACACTCTGCCTCAGACCATTTCGCAACTGGTTTTTGTTCATTGTAGGATTCCATTCCTGCTTGTCCAGATGTGTTGACACAAAATTATCCACCTTCTGCCTCAGGTTTTGGTAAGCTGGCTGAAACATTAAAAAGAAGAGGCAAGGTAAGAAGTTACATGCACCAAAATTTTAGAAGTCAGTCATTTAAGAATACTGCTTTCCACAGAAATGAAGATGTTTCAAGTCCTTGAAGACACTTCCAGCATGACGATGAAGATGGCTCTGTAGTACAGTAGAGCATGAATTAACTAGCAACCAAGGGCTTACTTTATGGTGGCAGGCACAAGGCCAGATGCATCATCCCATTTACTTTCCAAGTAATGGTACGGGGAGGTTCTATTACCTCTCTCCTGCCCCCATTGTAGAGATTAGAAATTTATGCTTAGAAAAAGTAAACAACTTGCCCCCATGGCCAAAATGTGGCAAAGCCAAGGTTAGACCTAGACTGTTTCTGAATCAGAGGAACTGGGTTCTAGCCTGGCACCATCACTAACCGGCTGTCTGACTTTCAACAAGTCACCAACCTTTCAGCTTCAGTTATTTCCATTTGTAAACCTGAAATATTACTGTCCCACTTACCTCGCAGGGTATCCTCAGCAATAAATAAGGGCTCAGGAAAGCCCACTGCATAAAATGAAGGGCCACCCAAACCTCAGCATGATGTGAGAATGGAGACTGAAGTCAAAGCCTATGGAACACTGGGAAAAGCTGAGGGGAAGCACACTTTAAGTCCAAAAATGGAGCTTGAGGCTCTTACTGGCTCATAGTCGGTTTTAGACCCAACTATGATCACAACAAAATTAGAAGGAACTTGGTGAATACATGGAATATGTATTCTCAGCCTCTAAGACCTTCTGGTATGATCAGCTGCTCTTCTTCAAACCAGGTATAATAGTGTGCATTGCTATTAGGCATCACCCCTGCTCCCCTCTGCCTGGGCAGAGACTGTTTCCCTACCCCAATGATGCTGAGTTTTAGCAATGCGACATGGTCTGGTCAATGGGGTGCTAGTGACAAGAGGCCTTAAATGTGATCGTCCTCTGTCTGGCTTGGTTCTTGTGCTCTGGTGACCCTCTATAATGGCATGTCCCGGGACCTAAGGTGAGTTTATATGTAGCCAAGCTAAACCCAAGCCCAGGCCACCTGAACCTCCCAGCGGAAGCCTACTAGATTAGTAGATTAGTAGATTAGCTGAACTTTAGCTGACCTGCAGCCCTATCAGCATGAGAATGGATGCTTATCATAAGTCACCCTGATTTGGTTTATTATGCAGTGTTACTGTGGCAAAAATTTGCTAGCAGTCAGGTAAATGAAATCGACAAAAAAAATCATCAGGCTTCAACTCTATAGGTGGACTCTTCCAAAAGGCCAAGAGAACTGACCCACAACACCCATGTACTATCTACCTAGCAACTTCTCCTTTCTCTCCTCACAAGGGTAGGACAGAGGGTGCCTGACCCATGCTAAGACAATGCTAATGTTCCCTGGGATTTTTTGAACAAGAATTGAGAGTCCTTTTCTAGAGGAAGAAGATGTAATCAAAATACTAGTGACCAAATGGATGACTCTGCTCTGCAGTGACAATAAAACAGTTATTATAAAGAGCAGAAATGAAAGATAGCCCTTGAGGAGCATCCCCGATCCAAATGCATCCCTACTCTTCTGACAGTTTGTATCAGTCCTTTCTTGGGGTGCCCAAGTCAACAGATTCACCGCTTTGCTTAAAGAAACTAGAATTAATTTGTCACTTGGAACTATGCATCCTGATACTATACTTTATACTATTCAAAATAAGTCACCTGGTTTGAAATAATAGTTACTGTTTACCGAAAAAGGACAAAGGACAGCAAATGTCACCACCAAACCTGAACAGATCTTGACAACATAGAACAATCCCTTCAGTTCTTGAAGTGAAAGGACAGACTGTGCCTGCCATTAACATTTTATTGCATTATCTATCCCTCACTTGATTCATTTATCGGTTTGTTCTATATTTATTTGTACTTTGGGTGCACTGCAAAGTAAATTACAAACATCATCTGTACACTTTCCCTGAAATATATCAGCAGTTTGGGAAGGGGCCTAAGAATATACATTTCTAACAAGTTCTCAAGTGATGTTGATGCTGCTGATCCAAGAGGCAAACTGAGAACCATGGGGCTAAAGCAACAGTGCCTGAAAACACAGTCTTCCAGAAATAAAACCACCCCGTAACTAATGGAAGGAACATCTAAGGTGTTATGTGGGGAAGGCTCCAACTCTCCTTCCCCCAACAGCTTTACAATACTAATTTTCTTTCTCTCTTTTAAAAATACCATGCATACTACATTGATTTAGCCACACAAAACAGAACATAAGAGATATGAGTGGAGAACTTGTGATGGGAAGTTGAGAACACCCAGAGTCCTGGGAAAGGTGGAAGCTCAGTTGATATGTACCTGAGAACCTTAAATAAGGAAAATAAGCACTAAATATTAAGCACTTCTAACACCACATAGTGTATATACCATCTGGTCTACGTGTCAGTTTTCTACCCTAGAGTACAAGCTCTGAGGACTGGTAGTGACTTACTTGTTCCTATATCCACACAGCCCACATGCTGTAGGCCAATAAATGTTCAATGAATAAATGGAAGATGTCTTTCCCTATCTTTGAGTTGTAATTTTAAGTTCACAATTTTCCTGTTAGGTAGGCAGATTTTCTTAGAGAGGAGAAATCACTTCCCTAGAGGGGCTCAGTCAGTAACAGAGCCTCCTAAACCTACAACCCTAGTCTTGTTAGAAAAGCTTCTGAAACGGGAGAAGATGGAACATTCCAGCAACTACTGTATGTCTGACATTTAACACACCTGACTTCATTGAATCCCCACGACTTTGGCAAGTAACACGAAATAGCATTTTACTAGGGGGTTGACCTATGGCATTAGGATCTAAAATTGGCACCAAATCCCCTTTAATCCACGATGGAGTACAAGATAAGGGTTCTGCACCAGTGTACCTGAATTCAACTGGACACTCAAGCCTGCAAATCACTGAGCTAGAGAAAAGGAACAAATTGCTACAACGTTCTGATGATTGTGCAAACCATTCTCCCTCCCTTTCTCCAGTGTTAACACACAGAGGTTTGTTACTGAGGGGCTTAAAGAAGTCTCCCCTTGGGAAAGATAGGACCTAGGCTCTGAAACCAGTACTGAATCCCCAAGTTCAGAGAAACGACTGGACCGTCACACAGCTAACAGTGATCGGGCTGGGAGCCCAACACACGTGTACACCGCTCAGAAAGCTTCTTGTACTGCCTCAAGCGGCTTAATACCTCACTGCTGAGACTTTTAAAAAGTATCTTTTATTGTTCTCTCTGCTTTAGAAAAGCCAACCTGCAACCCTGCTGTCTTCACGCCCCGCCCGACGCCGTCGGCCCCGGCTACCTTGGTGTCCACGTCCGCCAGGCAGTCCCGGCGGAAGCTGTCAAACAAGCCCCGGCTCTTGAGCTGCTCCACGATGAGAGCGATGAGCTGTGGGTCGCCGGGAGGCAGGGAGGCCGGGTTGATGGGGCCGCCGCTCCCACCGGCCCCCGTCGCGCCTGTCGCCGACCCCGCCGAGGCCTGGCCCGCTCCGCCGCCACCCACTGAGCCCGTGCCCCCGCCGCCTCCGCCGTCCGCCATGGCTGCGCCCTGGGCCCACAAAGGAAACTGAACACGACTTCTTCTCAGGGACAGAGGGCCTGGATCGTGTAGAGGTGGCAGAAGCGCCCAAGAAGAAGGCGGCGACGGGAGAGGAGGGGAGGGAAGGGGCGGCGGCGGAGGAGGAGGCAGGGTCTGATGCAGCGGCGGTGGCGGTAGGAGCGGTAGGAACGGCCTGCTCCATTCCGGGCGCTCTGCCGATGACGTCACCAATGGCCTTTGCATTGTGGGGCGGGAAGTTTTCGGCAGTCATCTCAGCCTTTCTTATAGGTGGAGGTCTGGCTGACGGAAACTACAACTCCCGGCAGGCTCCGGCTCGCTTGGCGCTGGTTTGCGGGGGCAGTGTGGGAATTGTAGGCTCAGGTGCTCGTGATCGCCAGAACCTGCGCCGGCATTCCTCGTCCAGTCACGGCAGCGCTCGCTTTGAATCAGCAGGTCCCAACAAGTGCCCGATTGTGAGAATCATCTGTGGGACTGAGTAAAAGTATAAACGGGTTTGTCCCTGAGATGTTCGGATTCGGTATTTCTCGGTCGGGGCCTAGGAATCTGCTTTTAACGTGCACACCCACGCCCTCCTTGAACAATAGGAGCCCGGGAAATTTGGGCAACAGCGGACTAATCAAATTTGTATTATGCCAAAATGTGTAGGTACTTTTTACTCCTTCAGATTTTAATAGCAGTGCATACTTATTTTTAAAAATTGGAAAATAACAGAACATTGAGACGAAGAAGATAAAAGTTTTCCCTGAATTTCTTACGTGTGTGGATTTGGTCCCAGATAATAGACATTGTCAATAATAATGGTGATAATAATAATAAACTAATGTCGAGTAACTGGAATATGCCAGGTATGATGCTAAGCCCTTTACACCCACTACTTGACAAGAAACTAAAAAGCAGATACTGTTATTGCTGTTTTACAGATGCAGAAATGGAGACATTTTGTTGCCCTGGTCACATAGCTGGCGGCTGAAGAGGCAGCTTTGAACTCAGGTTTTCTGAATACAAATCTTGCAGCGTTTAACAAACCTCCTGAGATCTAGCGGGCATCACACACTAGGTAAGGCTTTTTACCCTGATTTGTTTTTAGCCACAGTTCACCATGGGAACCCCGTGGCTGCCACCGCTATCCTCTCCTCCTTTCAGCCTTTAGCCTATTATTAGCTCAACTCCTGCCCACCTGGGGCAATTAGGTCAGCTGTTGTTACTTCCTCATCTTATATAAGCAGTGGAGAGGTTGTAAATAATAAATTCTGCAATACTGTTGGTTACTGGGAAGAGGCAGAATAGACAGATCTGGGATGCTTTCCACATTAACATTTCCTACTCAAGAGAGTTTAATTCTCAGACTAAATATTCAGGTGTTAGTTTATACTCATTCTTTAACATCCAGCTCAGTCTTTTTCAATTAATGACAAACATTAATGTTAATGACATTCTCTTAATACCTCACCATCCTTGAATTGACCCAATGCCTATTCTGACTAACTGACTTCACACTTATCACCTTTAGCCCCAGGAGAAGCCCAATTCAGGCTACCTGGGCCCCATGTCCGTTCTCTCCCAAGCTCTCTGATCACTTTCATCAGCCTTTTCTCCATTTTGGCACGGTACACCTTACTCTCTTTCCTCAGGGAACACTTCTGACCCTCAGACCTAATCTGCCTTTGGTCTCACTGATAAAGACTCTCCGAGCAGACTCTCTCGTAGCAGTTATTATAATTAAAAGTGAATAATTAATAGACTCATTAGCCACTTGTTTCCCCTACTAGAGTGTAAGCTTTAGGGCTGGGACCACGACTTGTTGTTCATCACTGTATCCCCAGCCTGTGGCACAAAACCTAGTTCAAAGTGAATGTGTAAGTTCCTGTTTCTGGTAGGTTTAGGATAAGGTCAGAGAGAGAGAGAGAGAGAGTGTGTGTGTGTGTGTGTGTGTGTGTGTAAAGGGTGGGTATCACTTAAGCCACAACCTCCAGAAAAGAGAGAGGCATTATAGCAGGAAATGATGGATTAATTTATTGGTCTAATGGGAAAGTGATCCTGGAGATTGGCAGTAGGGGGTTCACCCTTTGGCAATCTCGGTGTGGGGGTCCTTGTGTCCTGGTTGGTGGAATTCTGAATCGTGAGATATATAGTACAGCATCTATACTATACTGTACTATGTATCTGAGGCCTTGCCTCTGGAATTGATATAAATGGGGTAGGGGTTTGGGGAGCCAAGGTGATCAAGCCTAGAGGAGGCTTATTATTAATCCAGACTTGCAAAAGGAAGCCACCACTTAACATCCAGAATGCTCTCATCCCCAGTCAAGGAATGTGTGATACACGGTGCACTAGGGGGCACCCTTGCTCTGTTAATAATCCAGGACCTTTAGAAATTCTACGGAGATTATTGCTTTAACTTTGGCCCAGGTAGTCTCATTTTCTTTAGGTATTCTTTAGGTAAAAATAATTGTTGAATCTCAGTTTTAAAATTGGTCTCTAACAAGTTTCCCAATCCAGTGACTTGGACATACTAGGTCCTGGACTATTTTATATCAAAGACTGTATAAAAGAGTGGAAACTCCATTAAGCCTAAACGAAGACCTCAAAGGAGAAAGGGCAGGAACTGGAAAGAGTTGAGATCTACAGGTTGCCGAGGGAGATACAAAAAAGCAGCCAAGTGCATGCATGGGCTTTTTGCATCAAGTGGTGCAGGACTGGAATTCCACCTGTCACTTTGGGGCAGTGTGACTTTGGGAAAGTTGAATCCCCTCTCCAAGCCTCCACTCCTCAGGACCTTGGAGAGGATTAAGCTCCATTTTGGCAATCCATTTAGTATAATTCCTGGTCCTCAGCAAATGTTTAATAACATTTCAGTTGCAGATTTACCTTTGGGTTGGGGGGTTATTTGATTTACCTCTGTCTCCCCCACTGATCTCTAAATTCCATGACTGGATTGTCTGTTTCATCTAGGACAGTGTCTGGTATATACAGGCTCTTGGAAAATGTATGATTGATGGATGAAAAAAATAATGAATGAGTGAATGGGAAATTTGCTCTTCTAAATATAGGATAAAGCTGTTGAAGATTTTTGATACTGCTTTCAATCAAATGTCAGAATATAGCCAATATTCAGAGGAGTCAGGTACAGTAGAATAAGTTGTCTGTAATATATGTCTAAATGATCCGTGATTTTTGACTACATGGACTGGGAGACTGGGCCAGGGAGCAGACCCCAAGGTTAGAAGTCAGTCTGTGGGTTGCCTTGGTAACCTTCCAACCATGTAACCCAAGATCCTGGTCCATAAGCAAGAGCATTCCAGAGCCCTAAGAACTGACTCCAGGGCTGCATTTAGACACCACAGCCACTTGAGGTGGACACATTGTTGATTCTTATTCATGTTCATGGTGTGGCCCTTTTTCTTCTTGATCCTGTGTCGTCATCCAGAGAGCTCTGCCAGTTCTTAGGCTGGACAGCTGTTCATTTCCTAATTAACAGCATCCAGCGTTTCTCAAGATTGCCTGTCTGTAGCGTGTTGGCTACATCTATACCATGTGATCTCGACTGCTTCATTTTGTTTGTTTCTTTCTGAAATTTTCCAGCATATCTACTGACACCATGGATCCAAATATACACTAAAAACCGGGGCTTTAATAAGCAGGAGTCCTTAGCACCAATCAATACAATCACCGCCTTTCCTGCTGGACATGCATCTTAGATGACATTTCAGGCTTTGGTGTTCTTAACACACTGTCATTTTGAATGATTTTTACTAAAGGATTTCTAGTGAAAGAGGCAACCTGAGATCATATTGAGAAAAGAGTGAGAAGTTTGGAATCTGGGTTGGGTTTGGACACAGCACCTCTGCTTATTGGCTGTGTGACTGAGGGTCCTCCATTAACCCATAGGAGCCTTGGTTTGCTCATCTGTAAAATGGAGATATTAATACCTACCTTTTGTTGTCCTGAAAATCAGCAATCATATATATGCAGAACCTGGTACATAGTAGACCCTTAAAAGCTAACGATATGGTTTTGATACAACATCCTGGTGTACTCGGTTGTAGTCTATTAGTGGGACAGAAATCTCAATATGTATTCAGAATTAACATATATGTTACTTTAGTAGTTTTAATCTTGTGATGACCTAGGAAACCACTCAGCCAACCTCTAAATCGGTGAGCTCAGTAAAGTTCATAGTCAAGCCCTCCATGCTATTGCTGCTGGGGTCTGGACCCATCATCTACCTTTGTCGTCATACTTCTAACACTGTCTCTTATTCTCCAACGACACTCCCTATCTACCTATTTATTTCTAGTTACTTTTCCAGTATCCATGCTCCTTCTTTACCAACAGAACCCAGTTTTGTTTGAAGCTGCAGTGTGCCCTGTTAAAGCGTCCTTCCCTAGATTCCACTGTTGCTAGGAGTGACCGTAGGTCCTTCTTCTGGTCAGAGAGGTATCTGCTGAGGCTCCTGGGAAAGCTTGGCCTTACTGATAGAAGCACCACCCCTTCCTGCTATAGCATGAAGGCACAGCAGTCAGGAAGCAATACCCTGAGGGTCAGTTGGAGCCATGTAACTAGTTCTGGTCAGTGACTTGTGAGCAGAAGTGACTTGTGATACTTCTGGGCCAGAACATTTAAATACCAACATGAGACCCTCCAAGAACTCTCTTTGCATCTGCTATGATAACCGGCATGATTTTAGGTAGTGGCTGATCTGTCATCCTGGGCCCCAAAGTGAGGAGACGTGGAGCGGGGGCCCTGCTCTCTCCTAACAGACATGTACCAGGAGTGAGAAATAAACTTTGGTTGTTTTAAGCCACTGAGCTTTTGGAATTGTTTGTGAGTGCAGCATACTCTAGTCCATTCTGATGCAACCCTGAGCACATTCCTCCACTAAGTCCATCATCTGTGGAATAACTGAATGCTAAAAACTCCTCGGTGAGTGAGTGACTGAATGCCAGGCCCCATCCCTTCAGCTCGTGTCTAGAAATGATTGTACATCAGCCTAGTTTACTCATGTGGCCCTGTGAGATAGCTTCAGGCAGTCCTTCTTCAACTTTGGTGGCCATCCAAATTCTCGGAGGACCTTACTAAAAATATAGACGCTCAGCCATCCCCCCAAACCTACA